TCTGAGAAAATTCAAGAAGTTTTAGAGATTGAGATGATTAAGCATGTTGCGAGCTGTACTTATGAAGAAGGCTCTGAATGGGGAAAGGAGGTAAGGCAGTGATTGAACCGGTTTTTTCGACTCTCTCTTTTCTTCAAAACCATGTAAATGTTGTGGTTGTTTCAATGGCAGATGGGTTTGAAATACGGTTGTCCGGTAGAGGATGTGATAACCGGTTTAGCGATTCAGTGTCGCGGATGGAAATCAGCCTACTTGAACCCGAAAAGGCAAGCTTTTGTCGGTGTAGCGCCGACTAATTTGCATCAAATGCTTGTGCAGCAGAGGAGATGGTCGGAGGGAGATTTTCAGATTTTTCTTTCAGAGTATAGTCCGGTTTGGTATGGACAAGGGAAGATCAGTTTAGAACTGATAGTTAGTTACTGCTGTTTTTGTCTTTGGGCTCCAAGTGCAGTACCTGTGGTTATCTACTCTGTTTTGACTTCTCTCTGTCTCCTCAAAGGCATTCCTCTGTTTCCAAAGGTAACAAAGAGCATTCCTCTGTTTTTGTTGTTGTTATAAACTCGGAATCTCGGGGTAAAACCGATCTCTTCTTTGAATCCAGGTCTTGAGCTCTTGGTTTATTCCGTTTGGATACGTCACTGTCGCAGTCAACGCGTATAGCCTAGCCGAGTTCTTGTGGTGTGGTGGAACATTCCGTGGTTGGTGGAACGAAGAAAGGATGTGGCTTTATAGAAGAACAAGCGCGTTTCTTTTCGGATTCATCGACACGATTCTTAAAAAGCTTGGTGTTTCAGAGTCTGCGTTTGTGATCACAGCGAAAGTAGGGGAAGAAGAAGCAGCAGAGAGGCACGAGAAAGAGATGATGGAGTTTGGAGTCGAGTCGCCGATGTTTCTCCTCCTCGGAACACTTGCAATGCTCAATCTCTTCTGCTTCGCCGCAGCGGTTTATAGACTGATGGCTTCTAGAGACGGTGGAGATATTCAGAAAATGGGTTTGCAGCTAGTGATAACAGGAACACTTGTGGTCATAAACTGGCCTATATACCAAGGTATGTTGCTAAGGAAAGACAAAGGGAAGATGCCAATGAGTGTGACAGTTAAGTCAGTTGTGTTAGCTTTTTCTGCTTGCACTTGTATTGCGTTTTTGTAAGTAATAAGAGAACTCAGGTCAATGTATTCTCTGAACGCTTGCAATTTTATGTAATTTTCTGCTTATTTTATTACGCTACTGAAAATAATAATAATGTTTGGGAAAGTTTGCAACTATTTTAAAGATTTTTGCTTTACAAAATCT